TCTTAAGTCGCTGCAGACTTGGGTGAATCCTAAACACAACTTTGTATCCCACGGCAGCTAGTAATAGAGTGACTGGAATTTTGTGAATGGTAAATGCAAGTAGATATAAAAGTCCGCCTGATAGTAGAATTAGCATTTGCTTTCCCATGCTAAGCAAAAGATCATTGTATTTGATCAAAAGTTACCATTCATCTCAATTTTGATTAAAACACTAGATCCTCCACCCCATTCTTTTCTCACCCCTAAGAATTAAAATTAATGTGCATGCATGAATATATACACATCTCAAGACTGTGATTGTAAAACAATAAGAGTCGCCATATGATGCTAGGTGGATGTTAAAGTCCGTTGCTCATTTCGTCCATTTATTTCATCATAATGTAGTCGCCATATTTAAGTGCCCATTGTCAACTTCATTTCCCTCCGGACACATTAAGTTCCATCAAATAATTGGCCATGGCCAAACACCATGGCAGAGTGGTCCACCTGAGTGTTTTCAGCCATTCTACTTTACCTGCCTATAATTCAGCAATAGAAGGCGTAGTGATCGCCGTCTAATTGTAATGCCCTGATTGGGCAAAATAAAGCGCATATGCACGTATCAGTCAGATTTTTGCCATCACAGTTCCATTTGACAACATTGTGCAGAAGAAAGGCCTCTTTGGAACCATGGTGGAAGAGAAAAGTTGAGATTAGCTAGTTATTGTTTGCATAGTGATTCACTTTCCTATTTTTAGTCCTTGTCTTTGGCTGTATTCGATTTAAAGCCTAATTATGCAAGAAATATTCTGTTGACTAAATTTGTTTGGTAGTTGATGGCAATAAATGGGAGTGCCATTACTTCTTAAATAATGTCTGCCTCCTGCATGGCAAATGTCATGCACCCTTTTCTTCTTCACCTAGTCTATTTCCAGTTCGCACTCTCAAATCACATACCTGCTTTCATCCTCCATCTATTTCAAAGCCCTAAGCTTGCACTGCAGAAGAAGCATTCAGCTCCGCCATGCTCCTATCGTCTGACTTCCTACCTTAAATGCTAAGAGTATGAGAGAAGAGTAGCGGATGCTTGCAATGTTCAATGATGCTGCCAATGCTGCAATACGCATTTAGAAGTTGGGATAGATTGTATAGACTAAGAAGAAGATACTTGTGTTAAATGCGAATAAGGCATTCGCACACACATACTGAAGAGCCATTTTACCCAAGGAACTTACAAGGGAACGAAGGAGAAGTCCCATAGTAAAAGTGCCATTCCTTAGTCTCATCTGCATTGTCGTGAGAAATTTTGGGTGTGTATGTTGGGATGAAACCGCGTAAGCTTGCAACTCCATTTTAAATATCCTTTAACTAAAAGACATTTTCATTAGAACTTGGCTGATGGTATTCTACAACGCATGCGCACATACTGAATCGGGGATACCGTTTAATGGTTAAACATGTACAATGTAAAAGCGCGTCAAGTTCAACTCCAAATATGTTTACTCCTAATCCAAAGGGAAAAATTCAAATGTGCTCTAACGATGCATGCACGTATACAAGGAAAAGGAAACTTTCTTCTCAATATGGGTCTGAATGCACTTTATTCGACTACTTGGAGAAGGTATTCTCATATTCATATTGAATCATCCTCTTCATCACTCCATAGGTAAGTCCTGAATAATTAATGTCATCATTGGCGAAAAGGTATAGTACAACCACTCTAACTCACCTCTAGGCATGGCGATTATGGGAGACGACGAGTTAGAATATCTTGTACATTCTCCTGGATCCTGATCTAATGATTGAATCATACTGGCTACCACGCGGTATTGATAAAGTGTATCTGGATGTAAATCTCCAACAGTGGCGGAGGTCGTCGTGTTGCTTTTGGTAAGGACACTTGCAACAACTTCCTGTGATGCCGCATCCAAATGAGTCAAGTTATAAGGTTGGAGAATCCCGTTCGAGAATTCTGGTTTGAACCAAAGAAGTTCGATTACTGTGTCTGATATTGCGCTTCCCTAGGGCGGAGGGATCGGAGAAGGAGCTGTTAGCAATCAAGAGTTATTTGTCAGAGGGGAATTTGAATGTATTGATAGTACTCGTCCTAATTTGATTTGGCCTTAATAGCGCAATCTTCAAAACAGATTTGCTTAAGTCGCCGTGACCCCAATATCGGCTGTGAAGGTCCGTTACCTATGTATGCATACCCCCTACTTTAAGCCATCCTACTGACACGTCGCTAAACACATGCTACAAAATGCAATGGATAAAGCGCAATAGGCTTACCAGTCGGCCATGTTTTCATGTAACTTGTGTAATGCAAAATCGGGGTCCCGTCACCAGTTGCTTTTAAAATCACTTCGTATACAGTGTTGGGCTCTAGTCCATCAAGTTTGAGTTGTCCCGTGGTCACATTTGCAGCCTTTTTCGTAGTAGAAGGGTGACCAGAAGTCGGTTGTGCTGTTACTTCAATTAGTTTGACCCCGGTCTTAACAAATTCATTAATGTACCAACCTAAATAAAGGAATGTAGAGTTGACGCGACTTAAAAAGTATGCCAGGAGAGACTCCTCTGCACTTGCTGTCCTCTGTGCTACCTCATCTAAAGTACAATACGAATACAGGCGTAACTAGGCAAAAGAAGCCCCAGGCAATCCGTTTTACGTAGCTGCGACAACCTTCAACATTGATGGTACGCATAATGGCAGTGGCATCTGAGGGTAACAAAACTTTACATAGCTGACCTTAAAAATGTTAATTCACTCAGGCTAAAAGTTAATGACTGTGATCCCTCAACATGAACTTGGACATTGCAGTCATGCATTTGTGCAAAGGATTTTGAAGAAGTAAGTCACTTATACCCTAGGCGATGCTGTTTTGTGTACTCCAGTCACCCTCATGGGGAAGTGTCTTATGCGATTCCACTTAGTGACTGATATCTGTAGCCCATTTACTAATTCAGTGTTTATTTAGCCACAAATTGATAAAAATTTAAATTGGAGAGTGCGTAAGTGAGCAAATCCTATCCGTGCAATAATAGGCGTGACTGTAAGTGAATGGCTTAGGCATGCTAAAATCGTCGTCCAGATTGATGGGTGTCACTGTCATCACCAACTTGGAAGTAGGTAGAAGTGACGGTGGTGAGCCTACTCACAGCTGAAGTAGACAATGGCATTTGATGGACAAGAAAACACGGTATTTATGGTCAGACCTTAGCACGGTGGCGAAGCCTTGTGAATGGGCCTCCAGACTGCACCGCATTTCTTCTGCAAACCCCTTCCCACATCTCAAGTGCAGTTAACTCTTAATTTCCTTTGACATTGTGAGAAGGCGCATTATGCTAGTGCTCAAAACACAATGTAATATCATCGAGGCCATGTGCTATTTACGGCTAAGATCACAAATAGTGTGCGGCTATGGGTAGATTTGCGGTGTGGTAGATTAGTCAATCACTAATAATGAGTATTCCAGTATCTAAATCCCAGATGTTTGCATATTTTTGTGCATGTGCCCATAATCTAATCATCACTGGGCATCATTTCAAAGCATTACGAAAATCAGCAAAGTGAGTGAAATAAGGTAAAGACCAAGTGGAGCTATAAAGTAAATGGTTCTGCTCAGTGACAGTAATTTCAATTTACCACGACTTAGCAGCAAATAAGAAAAGGCTG